ACCAACGCCTGCTGTAACATTAAGCCCATTACCAGTGAGCTCTGCCTTCGTAAGCTGTTTTCGTCTTCATGGAATTCGCGGTGGTTCAGTCAGTGATCCAAGTCTGTCGTAATTCTTATAGAGTAAGCCTCTTTTGCCAGTCATAGGACAGTGATAGCATCTTCAGATGGACGCTCTATGCACGATCGTCAAACGTTTCTTTGTCATGAGATCCGGCAAGTATTACGGCAATACAGGATGTAGCCATGTCTCATGTTAGTCGAAAGGGGAGAAAGAGGCAGTCATAATCCCTGAGCAACCAGAGTTTCTAACCAGTGAATAGGGATAAAATACAGATGGATGGCATGGGAATAGAGGTCTCCCCTCACTCCTGTCCAATGATAACCCGAAACTCTAGCAAACAGACCCTCGCATTAATTTGACTGCGAAGCTGGCTAGAAAAGGGGTACAATGAAGAGTTTGCTAGCGACGCTTTGAGGATTCCAGTGATCGACGAGACGACAGAAGATACACATCACAGGTGGTAACTCCTCTGTGACCCACAACTCGAAAGCGTAAGTGGTTCAGTGGAAAGCCCGATAATCTCAGCCACAAGTGGTGCTTCTGGGCTCTTTCGTACATTTCAGCACTTTTAGAGCAGTTGTTGCCATGCTGCATATTACAGTCCTAGAGTTGGTTTCACCGATGATCTGAAAAAGCCCACATTGCCGATGCTTTGAGTCCCACTCTAAAGCGAATCAATGCTTTGATTCCAGGGCAAATCACCTGAATCCAAGTTTGAACTGATGAGGATCATCGTGGCAAGCCTCTCATCTCACGTATTGTTGTGTCAAACTAATGGATGAACACTTCTTACGGCTCCTTCCAGATTTTCTTTCTCTTTTTCTTTTTCCACTCTTCTTGCTTCCAGTACCTAAAGGTCACTTACTTGAAACTACTTGTGAGTTAACTCTCCTAGTCACATCCTTATTTTCCGTTCTCAAACCCCAACATCTTCTTTGAGCACGAAAGCTGATTTCCCCATCCCAGCTACTCTCTATAGTACACACGTAAGCATGTATTGTGAGACAGCTATTCTGAAACGGCTGTACGGCTGTGAGGATTGACTCTTTTGTCCTTTTATCTCTTTTTTATTTCTTTCTGTAAGAAAAAAGTATTTGTAATGGAACCGTGGTGTCAGGATATTTTGCTCGATGGATGGCGATGAGGTATTCGAGAGATATCTAGCAATTACCGTCATTGAAACAGTTCTTATCGGCACGGTTGGTACATATATTTTGTTGTTTCACTAAAAGTTCGGATGGAGTGCACCCAAATGTAAAAAAAGGCGTTAGGTTCGTGAAAACGTAAAGTATCATAGAAGCTGAAAGTCAAAGCTGCCCTTCACACTAACGTCACTGTTCTGTTCCCCGATAAGAAGCTTCGAGGGGAGGGAAGATGCCCACAATCGTGTCCAACAGAGTCCAGGGACACAATATTCTTCTCTTTGACTTAGCTGCTTAACAAGGTTGTAAGTTCATTGAAAGACGGCCAACGTCTTCCGTAAGTGTACAGGAGTGACGCGTAAATAGAGCCCCACAGTCATTGTCCCTGCAGTCGAGAAGGCGTGTGAACAGGTGTGGATCGAAACGCAGCCAGGGCATATGGCATCAGTTGATGGAGAAGGCCGCCCATGACTGCCCTCCAGTCCGCAGTCCCCCGCATGCCTTCTCGTCTAATGGAATAATGCCTGTATCTCACATCGTTCCTTCTGAAACATCCCAGTTTTAGATGACTTCCCGTCAGAATTGTAAAACCATGAAAGTCCATCTATTCACAATATCCCAGAGCGCCTTCCTTGAAGTCACATCAGCTCATCCATAAATGAAGAAACCCTTCATGCCAAATCAATCTTTTATAGGTGTCCATCTTCGGTTTCCTGAGCAACTTTCTGTCGTTTCTCGTATTGATTCGTCACAGAGCCTTCAAAAATTCGTTTGGCTATTTGGCAGCATATGAAGCGTTTTGTAATGCATGTATCCTTCTGATATTTTCATTATGGGCTACACCGTGGACGTTACTGTAAGTGCTTGGAAGTAATTTTGTTTTCAATGAACCTATCGAAATTTACGAAATTCCAGTGAGATTCCGATCAGTCTTCACAGGCTCAATCTGATCATTGGCTCAATATCTTTATTTTTTGTAGAATCATCATTCCATTGTAGTCTTCTCATAACCATTAACAGGTACGCTTTAAAATTCTGAATTCTTAGCCTTGTAGAGCTTTTCCTCCCTTCCGCTATGAAGAGCAAGGAGGGAGGATGTTTCTGCAGTACAGTTTCCTCTAGAGGCACGTGCGAAGCGTATTCTAAGCTATGCCTTTCATTCCTTCCCTCCCCAGTCCATAGAATTTCAGTGAAAGGTTGTTTTACTCACTAAGAGCGGTTTTCATGAAGTCATCAATCATGATTATCACTCCATTTTACAAAGCAGAAGTTTTGTGTGTCGGTTTGTCGGCCTGTGGGTATGTATGTATAGTGTAGTTCGCTGCGAACGGTTGGACGTGTCAGGCATGATGAGTTTGGCGCGGTGCCAAATCCGTTTTGTTGAAGCTAGCAAATGATATGACTGTACTACATCAATCGTACTACTCTCGTTTTCTATCACTTTTGTCGCATGCGCAGTCTATCACTTTTGTCGCATGTCGCAGCGAGAAGGCAGAGAACGGCTTCGACGGTGTAACACACTCATACTGCCTGACACGCCCAACCGTCCGCAGCGAAGTAGAGTTCATGTATGTTTGTCCGCAAAATGCTCCAGCATGTAACTGAAAGGAGAGAACGACCGCCAGCCAATCTAGAAACTATTCGGTGCAGATGTATCAACCCAGTGTTTTGATGTGATAACTCCATCATTCAAAAACATCACTTAATGCACTCCGAGCCATTGCGCTGGCTGCTTGCGTGACAGCTTGACGTGGGTGCAGTGGGACAGGGTAGGGAAGAGCAGGGGTTAGGGGAGCATGGGGAAAAGGTAGGGCGAGGGGGGGACGAGGAAGGGCAAAGGAAGTGAGGTTACTGGGCTGCTCGCGTGGCATCTGGACGCGAGTACATGCAAAAGGGACAGGGTAGGGGAGAGCTACGGCGAAGAAGTGAGAAAGAAGGGGGGGGGGGCGGAAAGGTGGAGTTAATAAGGAGATAAGGGGGCAGGGCAACCGTGGAGTATACTCTAGCAAGAGCACACACTATTGTGGGCACAAAAGCATTAGTAAAAGCGCAAAGTTGAAGAAAGCATGATCCAATGCTAGCGGAGGTGCTATCAAGTTAAGGTAATATTGCGAATGTGATTAGTAGAAGGGAGAAGGACTAGCAGAGCTGCAAACCAATTCATATCGTGGCATCAGTCCGGGGTAGTGTTTTCAATGTGATATCCCTTTTACTTTCAAACGTTTGAGTACTGAAGAAAATGAATAATGTAACAAGGAAAATGTACAACTAACGTACGTAGCGAAAATAGAAGCATTTGCAATCTCTGTGCGACATGACTGCACAGATTGTATGGTAGTGGAAAATGTTTAGGTAATGGAAGTGAGATTTGTGCTTCAAATGAGTAACTCACATTGCGCTGTATTTTTCGACTGTACTTTCTATCTATGTCTATAGATCTGTGTATGGTATAAGCGTTAAGGTCCAATCCACCACCCCTTCTGGCGAACGAGCGTGGACTCAGGATTCGCTGGGCTGCTTTGTTACGATTCGTTAAATAATACAGAGCAAGATGAGCTGTTCAGTGAATGATAAAGCCCTTCCCGTGAAAGTACGTATGGGAAGACAGGTCAGCCCGGCTTTGCCGGGCTGAAAAGGAGGAGGAGGAGAGCTCGCCGTAAGCCGGGAGATCCGACTGGTCTATGTTATAAGGTAGGTTGTGCGTTAGACAAGTCTAAAATCATTTCTATCCGTCTGGATAAACCCAGTTCAAGTTAACGTTAGGCGATTGGAAGGCTAATCTTGGAGATATTGTAGATCAGAAACGATGTTCGATGTAGCCACGCTCCCTTTCGCAAACGTCTTGTTGCGTTTTTGGGCCGGATTTCTTTACAGTCTCTCGCCGAGACAGTGGTGTCGCGCACCTTAACCTTTAGTCCCATTTGGTCATCCTAGATAGCTAACTCGACACAACGGAACACTTCCATGTTGGGTCCACTTGGTTCCGGTGCGGGCACTACACAATATAGTTCCCTTACCCGCTACGGTGGTCCACAGGCAAGAAGTCATTTATTGATTGCTCGGAAGTGCATAGCAAGTGCACACAGAGCTTACGGCGTACAGCTATCCATGCCCTGTAGGAGCGGTGGACATCCGCGCACTCGCACCCCCTCTCCATTCGTCGTCTAGTCCGGACATTTATTCATTCATCACTCCATGCTAGTGAATCAACAGCGAACAGCACTGCTCATTCTGAGTCATTTTGGCTGTTTTTTTTTTCCTTTGAGCGGCACTTTGAATGTGGCATTCATCTGCCCACCGACAGCCCACATCTTACTATTTTGAAGTGTTTCTAATTAAAGCCAAGTGTTTGTCAAACTACGCGCTCACCATCACAGATTCCTTGCGGTGATGTTTCCTTGGCTCTACTGGAGCATGCTCGGTGAAAGGGTCACTCAAATACTATTGCTAATAATCTCGCTCATATCGTTGGTGTATTTCGGAGCTTACTTCTTAGGTTAGTTTGGTCAATCAAGTTGATGACTATTCCCCCATATATAGCTGATATCGTAGCAATCGGTCGGGGCGATGTCAACAGTGAGCCGTGCCCCGGCTGCCTTCTCTACCGTGATCGGTTTGTATTTAGGAAGAAAAAAACCAGGGGCAGAAAATGCCGCGGGTGGGCTCACTCCATGCGTCCTGGCACGCCCCGACTGATTGCGAAGATACCACGTGTACTATCGTTTAGACGGATGTAACTTCTTTTACGATCACCAGTACAGCCTATGGACGTTTGGTGTGGAGCCATGCAGTCAAATGTTGGCATTTTATGTCGACATGTGCTACAATGTGACACTCTTTGTTCTCATTTGTGGCATTGATGCTATAGTCCTGATGAACCTGAGAACAGCAACGAAAGTACGGTACTCCACCACTCAACTACCGTAGAGTTAATGAAGATCTTGAATAACTTTTAGAAAATGATGGTGGGCAACAGAACCGTAACGCAGGAACACTGTAAACAGCGACTCAGGAAAGAAAGCCGACTATTCATCCAGGTCGTTTTTACTGGTCCATTGGTCTTCTTGAATTAAACGCAGAAGTCTTCATTTTAGTCGTTTCTGTGTTCCTGTACGTATTCGTTTATGCTCGTATCCTTCCATGTGATTGCTCGATGGGTGCCTAATGGATTTAGTCTTTTCTTGTGTACTACGTTCATCTGGGGATTTTCTCATGCCGCTGGAGGGTGAGCACTCCCAATGTCTAGTAATTTTCGAATGTCAGCGACTCTGGCCAAGTCTATTCCAGTTACGCCCTCGGAGAGGATCGTTTCGCGAGAGAAGGGATAAAGATGAAGATGATGAGTGAGAGGCCGGGAGGGTTAAACCCGATGGCTTCCAGTGAAGGCATGTAGCGATCCTGAGTCAGAATGAGGAAGGTGACTTCCATCACTTATTGGACAACATCACGGCTGAACTGTACATGACACTGCAGTCAGCCCTATCGCCGAGCAGAAAATTGCGACACAGTGCATACCTCGTTCGTACCATCAAACTGTCTGACATACTGAAGCTGTAACGGTTCATTAGTCAATGTAAAGCTGCTAGAAATAGTCTCAACCCTGGATTCATCGAAAAGTCTCTGAATAGGCGAAAGAGAAGTATTGAGAAAAGTGATGAGCCTCTAGCCTCTTTAGTCCTGAAGAAGGCCTTCGACCGCTTACCAGTGCTCGACGATGGAGTCTACCAGAAGACTCAGAAGACTTGGCCTTTCTCGAGGTGGACGTGGGTGATGGGATTGAAGCAATCCCAGATTTTCTTCAAGGACCAACTCTAAGCCCTTCTTCTTGAAAATAAGGGTCATTAGAAATGAATTCATGGGAGGGGGACCACCTTCAATAATCACGATATGACCCATTGCGAATAGTGGTGAGGAACTCTAGGGCATGAAGCGAAAATGGTTGGATATGCCGGGACATAAGGACCATGATCAAGCAAAAGAAGAGCACAGTTCCTGAATCAAGAAGCCCTAGGTCAAATAAACCCTCCCTTCACCAATGAACCGTTCCCAGTGCCCCGAAAGCCTTTAAACCTCTTGTACCTTCCATTTTTCAAGAAGTGTGGTTAAGTTGCTGTTGATACCAGTTTCGGCGAATGACAAAGCAGTGTAGCGTTTGCTGTCAGATGGTACCTTAGACTAACCAGATCAGTTGGAATCGAACGGCTTCATGTTGAGCGAATGGGGCGATTGAGCCCAGGTCTCAGTATTGTTTGTGTCCCAGCGCTGCCCTACAATACAGTTACTCGGGGTCTGGCACTATGACGAGCAACGGTGGCCTTCCTGTAGTTGTGTGGTATCATTCATTTGTCGATATGATTGCCGAGGAACAGGCAATATACACCGACAGTGACGATTTTATTCTCTGTATAGAGCCGCCTAAAAGTCAGAGTGTGGGAATCCTTCGCTATGATGATCATTCACATGCACCCGCGTAATTCCTCATGGTGGAATTTGGGCGGCTTCTCATCTGCATTGATACAAAATTGACGATTGTGAGTTTCGGCTCGAGGTACAAGACCACCCATATTTCAGCTAAGGTCGGGGTGCGTTTTCACAGTTACGAGTGACATCTCATGCTGAGAACATTACTGCTAGACGTATAGAATCGGTACTGCGTTCGTGCTTCTATAAGAAATTTAGGTACCCATGCGCACACCCCCTTTACATCCTCACTTTATCAGTCATAGCACGTACAGTAATTGCAGCGGGGATGTAAGTCTCGCGGGAAAACTCGACAAAGGTCCAGGCTCTGTTCAGATATTCAGTGCCTCATCCACCCTTTTTCCTTGTACAGTATGAACATTATGGGACCATCCAGAACAATAAATTTTTTCCTCTCTTCCTTCTTCGGGCTCCTGAACCACCTTTCACCTTGTACTTCAAGAACACCATTATACACAACTACTGGTCCGGTGTCACTCGAAACTGAGCAGCGCACTATCCTGTTATGATATTTCTCGGGAACTTCTTCTGGGACTAGGCTCGCCAAATTTCACAGATACGCAGCTTAAATACACATGGTACGCTCAAACACATTGAGGGTGTTTGAGACTATCAGCCCCCCAGCTGTCGATTTGTCGTGGTCCCCCCGCCCAAACATGCCCAGGAATGGAGATACAGGACCGTGAACCACGCTAATTCCTCCATGCTCCGCCTTATACCATTCTGCGGCGCAGATTCCCGTCCTTCATACTGCCGCCTAAACCTACACCCGGGAAACGGCCGACGAGTTTTACGTCCACTTCGTTGTGGGACCACGCCTACCTTTAACTTCATTTGAATTAGGATACTTCAATAAGAGCGTTTTTTTTGCAAGATTATCCTTTTGTGAGATCTGCTTCTGCTTAGATTAGGAAACATGAAACCTGAGGTGCAACTGGAAATTTATTTGAACATTTCAAGTGCATCCTTTGTTTTAGGGGTTACATCCCGTGGGGTGCCACCATTTTTAAAAGTTCTGCCCACTCAGCGTTGGATTTCGACGCAGGAAGATATCTACATCCTATCTTCGGTATTCTGTGCACAAAACCGCTGTTAGAAGAGCTGTTTGTTAGAGGTGTCTGGCGCGCGAAAATTCCCGTTTGACATGTGGTTTGGAGACACTTTTAAATCGATCATTTCAGAGAGTTCTCGAGGGAAAGGACTGTTGAGCTGAGGAGAACAACAACTAGACTCGGTTAGATCTAGATTCGTACTGAAACTCTTCACAAGCCGGAATAGTAAACGAATTCCAGCAAAATATAATCACAATGTTTTAAATGCAGCTGTAATGGAGAAGGGTGAAAACGTGAACTACTTCTTCGGGATCATTGGCAGATATTCATGCTTATAACCAGGCCCATTGTAACGCAGTCCACAACGTAATAGCGCTCTACTTGTATCCTTCCACCCCTTCTGCAGGTGAACGAGAGCAGTCCCGAGTGCAAACATGGGAGCCACTCTTGCTCATACGGAAGATCCGGAACCAATTCACAAAGCCAAATGCCAGTATACACTTACCAAAGCACGAAACCGGTAAGTCAGTATCCACTTTCATGACCCTTTCGAAGCAGAAGCTGATCTAGAAAATGTTAACTAGGCGCTGTTTGTTTTTTTTTGAGGGGGGGGGGATTCGAACTTCACTGCTTTCCTGTTCCTGTTTGCAAATCTCACTTTGGTGAAACTTGTGAACTCTTGTGAAGCTGGAGCAGGATCGTCCAGCCACCATCCCAAAACGTGTCAACTCGAAAAAACGCTACCTAGATGGGTCGACACATCTATGGAAAGCAAAATGCCTCCCCCCTCGTCGATAAACTGCGCCTATTAACTATGATTACGCAGAAGTGCGGTAATCATAAAAAACCGCTCTTATTGAAGTATCCTAATTCAAATGAAGTTAAGGGACGCGTGGTCCCACAACGAAGTGGACGGCTTGCGCCCATAAAACTCGTCCGGCCGTTTTTACGGGTGTAGGTTTAGGTGGCAGTGTCCTTCATAACATTTGTCGTAAGCGCGAGTGTCGCGTGCGGCTCCTTGGCACTTTGCCAAGTCCTTTGGTTGCGCTCTCAAATACAAGTAAAACGCAATTTCCTGAAGCGGATAACATTGGAGGTGCTACAAAATAAGAACACAAGATGATGACGAGGGCCAGAACTCAAAAGCAACTCGGCTGCATCTGCAGTATCCATCAGAGACCGCGCATTCCCACAAAACATGAGAATAAAATTAGCCCAAGCGTCCCAATCATTCGTTTTAACTATTTCTATGGCTTTGGCGCCAGATTCGCGCCGGATCCTAGAAATTTACAGGCGATTTCAACTAATTTGCCTTTCCTTGATTTTTCATTTTTGTTTTATTTACATTTACAACATTGTGCTTCATTTCTAGATTGTGTCATCCTCATCTCCTTGTACATGGATTTTGAAATATGAACAGCACCTAAAATTTTATTTGCATCAGGAAATTGCGTTTTGCTTGTATTAAACTAAAGAGAATGCCATTTTCATTTTCATGTTTCGTGGACATACGCGGTTCGAGGGATGTTGCAGAAGTGCACAGTTGCTTTTAAGTTCTGACCCTCGTCATCATCTTCTGTTCTTATTTGCAGCACCTCCAATGTTATCCGCATCAGGAATTGCGTTTTACTTGTATTCGAAAGCGCAATTAAAGGACTTGGCAAAGTGCCAAGGGGCCGCACGCGACACGCGCGCTTACGACGGATGTTATGAAGGACGGGAATTTGCGGCGCAAGAAAGCATTGGGCGGAGCATGGACGAACTAGCGTGTTTCACGGTTCTGTATATCCATTCCTGCGCATGTTTGAACGGGGAAACCACTATGCTTCGACAGCTGCTACTTACATACACCCTCAATGTGTGTGAGCGTACTATGTGTTTTTAAGGTACTATAATAGCTTCCAAATGGTATAGTAGCCCGCTGCTCTATCCGATTTGGTTTTCTGCCATTCCTCCATAAGTAGTGGCACGTTTGAATGGGATGACCTAATACCAAACCTGAAACATGATTCAGCAGTTTAGTAAGGTACCTAAGACCAGGGATAAGGATCCGAATTAGAATTAAAGCAGAGTGTGAAAGAGGAGAGAGAGTACACAGGTATACTCTGCGATCAGCTGTGTTCCAGGAAGCTCCAGCCCATGGTGTAGGTGGTCCCAAGAATGAACGAGACTACAGGGGGGGGGGCCAAAAAAGTCACTTTGACCGAGTCACATATCAGCAAAGTCTTTGCAGCCTACACAGAGGACGTGGGTACGAGTACCAGGGCAGAAGGTACCCAAGATGTTCCTCGATAAGCATTAGCTGGCTCTTGCCCATCACCTTCATGTACACTAAATTATGAAGTCATCTCCAGTCGCAGGCTGACTTGAGAAGACTTTTGGAATTTATGTCACCTCCAAACAGCTGCGAAACTTCTAGTATGGATTCACCCATGGATAGCTACCTGGAGACAAGTACTCTTGATCTGCAAGACCCCAAACATCGAGCAGCTCCATCAACGTCGCTACGGTCCAGGACATCATCTCCAACCCATTCACCAAGGCGCGGGTGATGGTATGGACCTGACGTACCTGGAATGCAAAGACCGATATTTTCTTCGTGAACCCCGGACTGTAGGTGAGCGCTGGCGGTTACATCAAGCAACTCGAGAAGAATATCCCCGCTTTATGTCGTCACCCGTACCTTCTTGGAAACT